CACGCTCAACTAGAGTTGCTCTTTGCGGCTCCCGCGGGGCGAGCACAATGCCCCTCACAAAGCTCTTCTCCGGAGCACCGCACAAGCTTCTTGCAGGCTTCGACGGAGACCACCACTAAGCCATCTAGGAGGTGGCAAACTCTAAGAGTAACAAGCACCACCGGCTTGCAACTCGATCACCTAGTGCCACTCGATGCAATCTCACAAAGCAACGCACTAGAATCACACTCACTCGCAATCGATTCGCACTCTTGCAAGCACAAGTGAGTTAGAGGGCATCCAAGCACTCCTACACAAGCCACATAGGCGTGAGGGTGCTCTGCAACCAGCCCAAGGCCGGCCACACACTCCTTTATAGCCCCAAAGGCTAAAATAGCCGTTACCCCTTCACTAGGCAAAGCACGTACTGACTGGACGCGCAGGTCATAACAACCGGACGCTGAAACCCAGTGTCCGGTCACTAACAGATAGGTTCCAGCGACGTTTTTCAGTGACCGAATGCGTCCGATCATCACTAACCGGACTCTCCCAGCATCCGGTCGCTTCTGGACACGCTAAAAACACTGACCGAACGCTGGGACCGGATGCGCACGTGCTGACCGGACGCTGGAACCTAGCGTCCGGTCGTTTTTCGCGCCAGCGTCCGGTAACAGACCTTTCAGCACTAAAACGGCTATAACTCTTAGCTCCGAACTTTGATTTCGATGATCTTGGACATTTTGGAAAGCTTACTCAGAGGGCTACACATCCCACATGCATAATTGATCCAAATCACAGTGGATCAAAATAGTATTCCAATCCAAGGACCATCCTATAGTTTAGAGTACACCGAAAAACCTTTTTCTCTTCTCTAAGTTGATTCACAACAACTCTAACTTCTTCTCCTTTGCAAATGTGACGACACCACCAAGTGTGCACCACCATGTGCATGTATGTTAGGTTTTCACAAATATTTTCCAAAGGATTAGCCACTCCACTTGCCACGCCACTCGATCCTAGCGATGATGCAAAGTTAGATCACTCGAGTGGCACTAGATAACCGATATGCAAACAAGTTTGCCCCTCTTGATAGTACGGCCATCTATCCTAAACCCGGTCATCAACTTCTTTACACACCTATGACCAGTGAAATAAAATCCCCTAAGTTATACCTTTGCCTTGCGCATTTTATTCCATCTCCTCCATTGTCGATGCAACACATGCACCAACATGATCAACATTGATATGATCCACTTCATATCATCACGTGATCATATTGGTTCATCGATCTTGACTTCACTTGTTTTTCACCGTTGCCTTCGTCCATCGGCGCCAAGTCTTGCTCAAGCTTCACCGCCACGTGGTCCATCGCTCCAAAGCCTCCGACTTGCCCTTCACGCTTGCAACCGGTCCATCAAGCCAAGTCTTGTCTTGATCTTCTCCACCTTGATCACATGACTCAATGTCATGTCTCATGTGCAATAAGCTCCTTCATCATCATATGTGTAAGCTTTGCAATATCTCCAAACCATTTTCACCTTCACGGCATATGTTGCTCACACACATGTACTTGTGGACTAATCACCTGTGTATCTCACATAAATACAATTAGTCCACCTAGGGTTGTCACTCAATTACCAAAACCACACAAGGACCTTTCAGCGGGGTGGTTGCGTGCCTGCTGGCGCTCCTAATTCGAATGGCGACCGGTCAGAAAGGCGGACGGGGTGGCGTTAATCGTTGGGGCCACGACAGCGACGTCAGCATGGCGCGTCCGTTGTAGGGGAAGGTCTAGGGGTGCCGCGGATCATCGACGTGGCGTCCATCTATGGGTGCGCGTCCAATGGCTCGGTGGTGAACGGTGGGGATGCAGGGGCACTGCCTTGGATGCCCTCGTGGGCGAGATGCTCTACTTGGAGGGAAAAGCAGAGGAGGGGGAGAACGAGGGGGATGACAAGGGGTCCCATGGGGCTCGCATGTCGGTCACCCGACGAGAGGAGAAGCAGCGGCGCAGGCGAGCGGGAGCTGGGCCACGGCCTTGCTGGGCCGGCTGGCAGTGCGCGCGCGGGAGCGGGCGTGGGTGCAAAGCTGGGCCACGTCAGCTGGGCCGGCAGCGGCTGCTGGGCTGCTTTGGCCTTTCTAATTCCTTCCCCTTTTCTAATTCCTTTTCTATTTCCTATTTCCATTCTATGCTATACCTTGGGCTCCTATGCATGTATACATGTGTTGCCAAGCACGTACACATCCTTATGGGGTCTAGTAGGGGTCAACTAGGGTATTAGGGTCAATGCCAAGGGTTGGCAACACACACACAACAAGTTTGTAAAAAGGTTCACTTGATTTTATTTCATCATATAACATCATGAAGAAGCAACTCACAAGTTGTTTAATATGCAAATGGTCAATCATGCTAACTTGGGATCTACTTGTGCAACTACAAGGGTGGTTTTCTAATATGCACACTCACCATGCATGAGTTTTGTTAGAAAAAAATTTAAGTTTGGATTTTTGGTTCAAGGAAAACTTGGGTTGTTACACTCGCCGCTGATGTCTATGCCGCCTTTTGGACAACGTTGCCACATACCACCACACCGTCACTGCGATCGTGCAGTTCGTCGTGACAATGCACACCGCGCGTGAGATGCTCACGAAAGAGGGGTACCGCGATATCATCATGTTGCAGGTAAAGCAGTTGTCCGCCAGTGAGATTCTGGGCGCACCACCGCCCTGACAGGAGGTTCACCTTAAGGCGTGCGAAGCAACAAGGGGCAAGGGACTGGACTCTACGGTGCCAAGTGGGTATGGTGTGCCACATGCATAAAAATGACAAATGTATTGGTAAAACGTCTCTTTCATGGTAATTCTGTAAGATAATTCTAAGAGCAATATTTGGATAGGTGTTGTTTTTAATGATGATAAAAGGTTAATTTTTTCTGGTTCACAAGAAACGAACTCGTAACTCATTTCCTAGGTGGACTTGCTAGCGTCCGGACGTCCAATTTGGGGCGCTAGCGTTCGGATGGTGCTACACAGCAAGTGAGCGCCCTGGTGCGTTGGGCTCGTGAGCTAGCGCCACAACAGCGGGCCCACGATGTCTCGGACGTCACCCACGCCACCCCAGACCTCGCCCACGCCACCCCGAACATCGCTCACGTCGCCAGCCGCTTCCCACGCGCATCCCATGTGCACGCACTCGATCTAATTTTAAAACATCCAAATGCAACAGTAGCAACATACAAAAGAAGATAGGTGAAACACTTCAAATAAGCTTCTGAAACACTTGCAAAAACGCCTAAAAACACTAGAAAACTATTACAAACATAGACAACATCCAGATAAAACACTTGCAAACATACGTATGAAACACTTGAAACACTTGAAAAATATATGATTGCAACATGCATGTATATGCAACATCTAGATCTACTTTTACAACATCTTAACAAAACACTTACACCATATGTCTGGAATAGATAAAATATTTAAAACATACACTTGAAACATACGTGTATAGTCATAAAACATGTGCAACATCCCGATCTACTTTTGCCTCGATATATAACACCTGCAACATACCTCTGAAACATCTAAAACACTTGAAACATACTCCTGCAACACGTGCTTTCAACGTAGCATCTACTTGCTGCTTGGACGAATAGAGGCTCGTCGACGCGGAGCTCGCCTCTCTAGTGGAGAAAGGCCACGGTGGGTTGCTCCGGTGGAGAAGGCGGACCGCACGCTGGAGAAGGCTGCGATGTAGAGTCGGGCGCGCGCTAGAGAAAGGGCGCAGCGAGTCGCTTCGACGGATGAGGTAGGGCGCGGCAGCGATGATGACACAGAGGGCGGGTAGGGGCTAGAGTAAGAAGCTTGGATGGGAGGAGATCTATGGCGGCCTGGATTTTGCGTTGTCCACCACGGGCACGAGTGGACACTGTAACAAGAGGCGGAGGGCGCAGACAGCACGGTGAACATAGCAACAAGCAGAATGGGAAAGTTATGAGTCGCAGAAGAGCACGCCGGTTGTCTGTTGGGCCGGTCCGCTGCGCAGGACTAGGAAGACAACATCCAGTTGTACAAGGCATTTCCGTTTGCTAGTGGGTGAGCGTGTCCTCGAATGCAGAGGCTCACGGGATGACTCTTTTCCACCCGTCCCTCGACCAAACATCGGGTCCCTGTCCCGCCTAAAAAAAATGAGAAAGAAATAGCGAAGCACTCTCTTCAATTTTCTAGGGGTGTTTGGTTCACTCTTCACCTCCTAAATCTAGTATCATTTAGTCACTTTTTACCCAAACACTTTGATTAAATGAGACTAAATGAGGTTTATGCAACTAGTCACTAAAATATTGCTAAATGGGACTAAACATCATATTTTAGTCAGACTGTCTCACTTTATAGTGACTTTGGAGTCAAACACCCTGATTAAAATGGACTAAAAGACATCTTTTAGTCTTTTTTAGTCCACCAAACTAAATAGAAAATGATTAAAGTTTAGGAGCTGACTTAGGTGACTAAAGTCCCGTTTGGTAGGGCTTCTTTAGCGACTTCAGGAGCCGCTTGGAGCCGTTTTCTACCAAACGGGATAAAATAAAACGGCTCCACCGATGAAGCTCCTAAAAACGTGCTTTCACAGAGCTTTGCGGTGAGAAGGAGTTAAAAATAGTGGCTTCTCTTGGCTTCACCTTATTCTACATGGCGTTCTTTGAGAGCATATTTTAAGAAAAACTATATGTGAAATTATTTTACCAAACGATTTATCAAAACGGCTACAGCTTCATTCATAAAGCTGTTCATAGAGCTGAAGTTAAAAAAAAATAACTTCATGGACAAAGTAAGCCGGAAACAAACGCGCCCTCAGTATTCGCTCGTGAGAGGAGATGATATAAATCCGCTAGGACCTCAAATCCGGGATCAACCCATCCCATGTGTCAGACTCAGTAACAGGCTCACAGCTCTATCTACCCGTTCCACAGCTGTGGAGCATACCGCACGCACCTCCACACTGCTTCCATCTCCGGCCGGCGATGGCGACGGCCGCCGCCGCATCCACGTCGCTCCGGCTACTGTCTCCGTCCCCATCTCCCATCGCGGTTGCACTCTTCACCCTGGTCATCCTAATTTGTTTTCTCCAACGAACTCAAAGCGTACTCTAATCGTCCGCCTTTGTGTTAACCAGAGTTTGCCCCGTCGGTGGTGTTGGGGGATCCCGGTGCAGTCCGCCGGGCGGAGAGCATTCCATGCTGAGCGGCGGAGACGGTTCGTGTTCTATCCTTGCTTTCCGCTTTTTAGTTAAATTTACGTGTGCGCACTTGGTGGGTGCTTTTGGATTAAGAAGTAGTAACGACTTTTATTTTGCTCAATTGTGCGATTTGGTCTGATTGGATAACAATGTATTAAACCGATCCTCTCCTTAGCCATGCTGTGGCATAGCTGTGCCGGGGATTAAGAAATTTAATGAATTGGGGAACTTTTATAACTGAACAATGAGCACGCACTGAACATTGCTGTAGAACTGCCATTGTGTTTTGTGGTTGCTCAACATTTAAATGTGACCTTGGAATTGTAACCAATCAAGTAGTAGCATGGCTATTGTTCGAAAGTTTGGATATGATAACTTTGCTGAGTTGCTGACGCAAATTTGTGATTCGTGTTCAAACTACCTGCGGTCATCAGGATCTATCTTTCTATCTTGAACTTTGACATGAAAATCGGTAGATAATATTCTTAATTAAGGACTTATGATTTCGATAAGCAGGACGACTTTATTATGCGCAGCTGATAAACCTCCTGAAGAATCCCTCAAGAAGACCGTAGAAGTGGATAGGCTGATTGATATGCTGAGGAACGCAAATCCTAGAGAGGTAACCGTGAATATGTGATTTCTGTCTTCACTTTGCCTGGTATTTAGTTCACATTATCCTTTTTGAACTGTGGTTACTGTCCTACATTTCGATTCAGACTTCACACTATAGATCTCCTTCAGTTTGAAAACCACCAATCTTAGAGCTTGCTTCCTGTGTTGCTTGTTCGAAACTAGTGATCTGCACATGCCCATGTTTCATGTAGGGCCACTTCATTCGTTATGGTGTTCTGCAGTAACAGCTGTATGATTTTTTTTTTTTTGAAAGGAACAGCTGCATAAGAATGTAAGTAGCAAATATAGATAGAAAAGGCAACTTAGGAAAAAATGGGCCTAGAAACTGAAAAGCTCAACTCTTGAATTTCAATTTGTAATACAATGTTGATGAGCTGCTACCTGGCTCAAAACACCAACATGGCTGGGAACACAGCAAACTGCCCTGTCTAACACATAAAGCATATTTATGCATCTGCACAAATGATAATGAGATATGATTTATCTTCCCAGTACATGCATATCACATAACCAAGTACATGAAGAAAAGGATATCCATCTCTTTTCCCCCAGAGAGAACAATCGACATCTGTTATATCTAACAAACTGATCTTCACCCTCAATTCTAAATCCTCTCAAACACAAATAATAAAAAGGTTGAGTTTCCCACACAGTGAACCCCTTCTAGAAATAGATAACCCACCCATTACATTGCAATGTGGATGTCTATCTCATAAGCTATGAAATCATAATGATATGATCAAAAAAGCAATAGAAGAAAATTGGAAACCATAGTGGTAAGTGGTAACTGGATTTCAGACCTATATTGTAAATCTATAACTAAGCTGACCCAGATGTGCATCTGATCTTGCATCCTAAAAAGAAAGAACAAAATCTCGAATTTGAGGTGAAGTAAATCTGATGATGAAATTTTGATGGAAATATGTGATCTTGGTACTTTCGATGGAGATGTGAAATTGCTTCTCGATTGCTGCTTGCACATCTGTTATGAAAATATTTGACATGACACTGGCAATAAGTGACCAATGAGCGCACCAGAGAAAGGTATCAAAACAAGGAGCTGATAAAGTCATACAAACATGGGAGTTCTAAAACAATAGGCTATAACTAAATTGAGTCTGTTACTGTTATCGTGTTTCTCTTGTATAATTGTACTTGTTTCCGCATCATGGCTCATATACTAATATAAGGTTTGTACTCTTTTGTTTCTTACTAGGAATTCATTGGATCAATTTCTTCTAATTCTTGAAAATATTTACCTTCATAGTAGCTGCAACTTGCTTCCTGTTGCATAGGAACAGCAATGTGCCTGACCTTCAAAGTTTGATTCTGCAAACTGTATATCCATGGTGATATATCAGTGACATAGAGGTTGCATCTTATTTGATGTATAGGCTGTATGTAAGCTATTATTAGGATGCCATAAAAAGTGCACTTTCTGCAAAATATCCGAGCCTCTAGAATAGGAAGATCAAAATGGCGGTGACAAGAGTGTTTGCACTGAGATATTCCTGGCTTGATATGACACTACTAATATGAGTACTTAGATATCTCATTGTAGCATTTTCATAAGCAATGAACTGACAGTTTAGTTACATTGATAAGTCTTCATCAGGCTCCCAACAAGGAAAATAATAATTGTCTTAGCTTCAGCCTCATCATACACCTGCTCAGCAGACCTGGGCTGGGCATAACATAAATAGCAAATCAGCAACTGGATAGAAATATAGAAAGTACCACTTAGTCAGGCGCCTTCATAGGATAGCTCTAAAATGCTAGATGAATTTATTAAAAAAAGCAAACCTGCTGGTACTTTTGTGCTCTCAAACTTAAATCTTGCAACAAAATAACAAAAGGAAGCAATATTAAACAATATGATCTTATTCAACATTCATCATCTGCCTTCCGCTCATTCCATTCTATTCTACTACTATCTACTTCACGTGATCCAAAGTAAGTGATGAAATGATCCATTTCTTGTGTTGCAACTTTGGAAGCGAACAAAATAATTAGTAACACCATATTTTGTTTCACCTTTGCCACTACTGCAGTGATGGGTAAAAAAAAGTGAGGTTCATGCAAAATATCAATGGACTGTGATCTATAAGTGTAAGAGGAACAATATGTTGGCACTAACCTGCTCAAATCACTAAAATCAAAGGACAGTCAGATCAGGGGCCTGTTCTTAAATTCCATAACTCACACCTGAAGAACCTGTAGTGTGAATATACTCAGAGTGAGACATTAACATCCTACACTCCATTTAGAGTTCACTAACTAATTTAACTTGAGTGGACAAAAAAGGTAAATGCGTATGTTGTGATGGATTTGCGGTCACACAAGAATGGACCGAGTTCGGAACGATGATATACGTGATCGCCTAGAGGGCACCAATTGAAGAAAAGCTTGTCCAACATCGGTTGAGGTGGTTTGGCCATGTCCAAAGGAGACCTCTAGAGGCACCAGTGCATTGTGGAGTCCTAAGCCAAGCTAATAATATGAGGAGAGGTAGAGGAAGACCGAAATTGACATGGGGGAGGCAATAAAAAGAGATTTGAAAGCTTGGGATATACCTAGAGATCTATGTTTGAATAGGAGTACTTGGAAAGCAGCTATTGAAGTGCCTAAACCGTGACTTGGGGCTCTCGGTGGGTTTCAACTCTAGCCTACCCCAACTTGCTTGGGACTGAATGGCTATGTTGTTGTTGTTATTGTTGTTGGACAAAAAAGGTAAATGACCTGGAAGTTCCAACAACTCCTTACGATGTTACCTGCCTCTGTTTTCTCTGTGAACTGTCCCTTCTTGTTATGGAGCTGACTGCTGACAGGCATCCGCTGCCATGCCTCGCTGGTGCCATTCCTATCACTGTCAGTCACACCGAATCTCCCTAAGTAATTTGGAGATTCTTAAAAAAAAGAATCGGAGCAGATTTAAACCTCAATCCACTGCCACACCATGAGAAAAAGAGAGAACGTGTACCTTGGTTTGAAGACGCCAGATCTGCTGGAGCAAACAGGACAACGCGTCCGTCCCGAGGAGGATGCCATGGCCTTCGGCACAGAACGTGGCCCATGGGCCATGGAGAGGAGGGCAGGAGGCACTGGTCAGGAAGATGGCATTGGGATAGGTGGGGCACCGCTAGGCGACGAGCACTGAGGAGAGTGGTGACTGGCATAGGTGGAGTGAACGGTGTACCGGTGAGGCCACGTACTACAGAGAGGAGGAGCTGCAGATGGAGATGGCGCCAGGGCCTCCAAGCATAATGCCACCAACAGATGCATGAGGATCGACATGCAGGCCATATCCCTCGGAGTGCATCCCTCCCTTGGTGGCGAGGGTTGGGCACAACAGCCTGATCTGGACCATGTCCTCGGCACAGGGCGACGAGGCCTGCAGAGGGTCAGATTTGACACCATCAGCACGGCCTGTAGGAGTAGGACCTCCACTCGTGCGCATATGGGGCCCTTGGCTTTGAATGCTGTGGGCGCTCCACCAGCTCGGACTGCGCGCCAAAGCACTGCTGCCATGTCCCCCAAAGCATGAGAAGCTGTAGAAGTCAAACAGAACTATGAGAAGCTGCTTCTGATGTAAGCGGCTCCATGCAATATTAGCCCTAGGTGGGCGCTAATTGGGATGACGTGAAAGCCCTCGGCCCTCCACTGGCCAAGAAGCCATGCTGCTCTCTTGTTTTACCATTTGCAGAGCTGAACTAAGAACTATTTGGCAAATCTATCTCTGGACCTAAGTTTCATCAACTGCTCTGAGTATAGTGTTAGTTGGCAGTTTGACTTATTTCTTTTAGTCTTCTCAATTCTTACTATCCTGTTCTACATGCTTGTACAGTATGTGGGTTTGTCTAAAGGTATCACTAGGTTAAACTAATGTGTCCTGGCTTTTTTTTAAGGAAGGCCTTATTCTCTGTTGAACCGACTGGGAGAATCCTTGCTTGTTTTATTGTTTCTTTTGACGTAGTGAGTTCAAGTGATTAAATTACTAATACACCTTTCTTTCTTTTAAACAGCTTGATCAAATAGTGGTTGAAAATGTTCTGTCATTCGACGCTGGTTTCTGGGTTCGGCTAGCAGCTAGAATTGACCTCTGCAAATCAGATGATGATAAAGCATGGTTTCATATATGTAGACAATTTTGCTTCCTATGGATGTCATTATCTTCTACCTCAGTTAATTTAACTTTGTGATTGGTTTCTCTGTTTTGCGTTCTCAGAAAGATTATGAAGAGCTGGCAGAAAATATCATGAACATTGTTGACCGGCTTGTTCACAAGACTGATGTAAGAACCATGTTCCATCATGCATAAGTATAGTACCTCTGCCTATGTCCTCATAAGCGAGGAAAGCTTTGTATTTCTTTTGTGATTACTGATTTACTGATATTGTTCCATTTGCTAATTTTACCCTTATGTTATGCAGCAAAAGATTGAACAGTCAACAGATGTGCTGAAGGCAATCATTAGTCCTGTGATGCATGAGGGAGATGTGCAGTGGCCACCAAGAGGTCCAGACACTCTCAAATTGATGGAGAAAGTATGGTCACATCTCTACCTATTGTTCTAAATGATTTTTACATCCTTTACTTGCATTTTGTCATGGTCTTTGCATTTGCACTGCCTATAAAACTGAACTTTCTTAGACTGAAATGGTATACAACAATTAGGGTAATGGTAGATTTGTGGTGAAAATGTAATCGTCAGGGCAAATATCCGAACATTTCTTCTTCAGCAATTTCATTCAAATTATGATTTACATGTGCCTATTGTTGCCATTGTCTGTACTTTGCAACCAACATTTCTTTTGGGCTTCAGAGATTCGGTTGATTATATGTAATTTTCTGTCACATGTGTACCTAGAAATGCCAATCTCCTTCATGCCATCATGACATTCCCAGGAAATAACACGCCGAGAACAAGAAGGACAGCTTGATGAGGGATTTCTGTCAGAAGTTAGTGCTCAGCTGAGGCAGGTAAGTGTTAGTTTCTGCTTTTTATGCTAGCAAGTTGTTTATTTTTATTCCAACTTACATTAAATTTTATTTTTTTTCATGTGACTAGTATATGTTTACATGTGTTTAGGCTAAACAAGATGGAGATAAGCCAGGGCTTCAAGCTATGCTGCAAAAAGTGTTGCAGTTATATGCTTCCAAATCTCTCCAAAAACGTAGTTATGCATACAAAGGTAGTCTTCCTTCATGCATTACTTTTAGGCTGTTCGACCTGAGATGTTGAGACAGGAGACAGGACTACGCTTTCATTTTGTTCATGAGCACCTTCCATTTTTCAGGGGGGCAAGTTGTAGTTCCCGAAAAGTTCCTCGAATGTGTGATACAGGGTCTGTATTTCCACGCAGAGATTCTTTTTTCTCTCTCTTTTTCATCTACTATCATCATATCTGATCAATGGAGATTATGCAATGCAGCGCATGAGAACGAGTGGAACAAGGTGTTGCTTGACGGGCTTACAGTAGGAAAAGGGGACGTTTCACCAGATGATCTTTATGCCGTTATTAACAAGAGAATTGAGAGAGTCTTGATTCGTACGGTGAGACCCACAAAAATCTGGATTTTACAGGGAGCAGGGGCCTCGTCTTGAGCATCTTCTCACACTGACATACGTTCTTCCTTTCTCTTTCTGTTCTACAGGAAGGTGGCTCTTACCAGCAACGCATACTGGTTGAGTATCTAAAAGAGATACAGGCTAGAGCAGAGGAAGTTGTCAAAGTGCTTCAAGGACCAACAATATAAAGTCAGCTGATCCTGTTTACACTATACATGTTTTCCCCGCTTGCGTGTAGTCTGATGGGCCAATGGCTTAATTTTGTTGAAGTTGTTTGGCAGAGAACTAGGAGGAGGTACGTTTCCCCATTTGGCAGAGAACCCAGAAGCTTTCTCCTCTATTCTCTCCGCGTTGAACAGCTTTCATCTTTTCAGTTTCAGATATGCCTGAATGCCTGATGCTGGACCTGATCAGTGATCACACAAAGATAGCACAGGAAATGCAGGGAAGAGATAAGCCATAAGGAGCGCACATTTACAGCAAATCTCCCTTTCTTATTCGCGTGGTTGCCCATTTTAAGTTTAGGAAGCTAGCTTTCATCCCGAAGGCCTGGCTGGTTTAGCTGTTGGGATAATGAAATTTTCTGGTTTGTCTGACTGAAACCTGTAATATGCTACAGATGGACAAGTAAAAATCCTGATATTTCCTGTTTGGAACGCCGGAAATATTTACTGTTCCTGTATTTTTCATGTGAAATTGAACGGATTCTTGTGAAATTCCTGCTTGATTTCTGCGTTCCAAACATGCCCTAGTTTGGAAAAGTGGAGCGGCTAGTGTCCTGGACGCTGCTCCGGCGTTGGCACTCGACACATGCAGCTCCCTTCGTCGCGCGCCCATCCTGCTTCAGAGGTGGTGTCTATCCGACGGAGCTCCCACGTCTGCGCTTGACGCACGCAGCTCCCTTGCCCGTGTCCCATCCCGCTCCCCATCCTGGCCAATCCGCCGTGGCATCCTGTCCCAACCGCTCCAATGTCCGCGGCCTCTATCTTTGCCACACTAAGGGAGCCGCAGCAGCTGGACCACCGAGGACTTGGGCTTCCTCCACGTCTACATCAAGATCTGCTTTTGCAAAGAATTGTAACATACGTTTGAAACTGATGAAACATTCGAAATATACATCTGCAACATATGCAACATCTAAATAAAACGCTTTCAACATACGTCTGAAACTGATTAAACATTTTGAACAAACTTTTGAAACATGCGTTCATAGCCATTGCAACATGTGCCACATCCGGATCTAACTTTGTAACATCCATATGAAACACTTGCAACATACGTACAAAACATCTGAAACATAAGCAACATACGCTTTCAGTGCAACATAAGCGGGCAGCGCGGCGAACTAGCATAGTGGAGACGATCTTGCGAGACGGCCGCTGCAGGCGGGGCTCGTGACGGCCGGGTCGAATCCACGTGGGGCGCGCGAGGCAAGCAGCACGGGTGGGAACAAGCAACAGCGCGGGCGTGCGGAGCGGTCCGTCCGGTGGCATATCGTTCTACTGTTTTTTTAGAATAGTATCATTAGAACTATTGGTGGCTCCCCTCCCATCTTGCAGATGTTGATTCGGCACACGCAGCGAGGCTAGACGAACCAACTACTCAACCGAGCATGATGTGTGTTGTCAAAAAAGCCGAGCACGATGTGTCGTTTGCCAATTTGTTCGTCCCAGCTGGCTTGTGGCAGTTGGACTCTAATCCTTCAAACCGCATCCCAATCAAGCAGCCTCTTGGGGTGCGTTTGTTTGCCTGGCCTAGGGGAGCCAGTGCGCCCATGGGCGGCAACCCTAGGTGTTTGTTTACCAGGACCCCCTCCCTAGCCTAGCCCGCACGGCCATCAAAGCAGGGGCGAGCCGCGGGGGAACGAAAATGAAATACGTTCCTCCCGGACTCGGCTCGTTCGGGCGCGCGTCTGGCCATTTCGGCCTCCTCACGGTTGGCCCCCGTGGGCTCACGCGGGAGCGGTGAAATCTCCGCACGTGGCGCCGCTAGGGTTTCGGCCTCCATTTATCCCCTTCCTCCCTTCCCTCGCCGCTCACTCACCCTCGCTCTCTCCGCTCTCCTTCCTCGCTCTCTCCGCTCTCCTTCCTCACTCCACCTGGTGTTGTCGGCGCGGTCGCAGACGCTCCCGAGCCTTAGAGGTTGGGAGTTCTCCCATCGCCGTCGGTCAGCTGGAGGTAGTGTTGGTGGTGTATATGCTTCCTCTCCGGCTCTAGTCTGCCACCTGCGTCCTCTTCTTCGCCTGGCGGTGGTGGCCGGTGTCGCACGGGCCCCGTCTTCTTCCACACCTCCGCATCTTCTTCCTCCTCGCTGGCTCCGGTGCGGTGGTGTTTGTTTGCCTAGACCTCTCTGCCTCGCCTCTTCTTCCTGTGGTTCCTCGTCGCTCGTAGTAAGGTGATATCCCTTCTCGGGCCTTACCTCGCGTGGATCTGGTGTATGTGGATCTGGATGGTCCAAATCTTGAGATTTTAGGTGGCTTTGTGCAAATCCCTGGACATCGTGGTGCCTATGATGTTGTTCTTGGTGATTTATTACTCTGGTGCTATTGTTCTTGTCGATTTCGTATGTGATATGCAGTACATGCTCGGTTAGGGTTTACTGTTCATTGTTCGGTATGGATTCAGTGATGGTTTGCGGTTGTTTATGCTAGTTGATGATGCTGTTAGTAGGTCCTAGGGGGCTTCTCTTTGGAGAAGCAGCCATTCCTGCTACTTTTTGCCCATCTGTTTATGAATGCAGTTCATTTAGAGCCAGCAAAGACATGCCTGATGACTGAAAAATGTTTTCAATAACTGAATGTATTTTGTCAGCCAGCATTCTGTCATGGCCAGTCAGGTTGCAGCAATGGTTGTGGTCATGGTGGCTTTTCTGTTTTCTAGGATTAAGAGACTGAGGGGTGAGGATGAACCCATACCCTATGGTCCTAGGGCTTTAGCAGATGAGCATAGGAAGAGGAACTTGGACTTAATTTATAACTCCACTGATAAGGAGTGCATTGCCATGCTAAGGATGAGTAGGGCCCCTTTCTTTGCTCTTTGTAATCTATTTAGGCAGAGGGGTCTTGTGCTAGACAGTGTAAATGCAAGTGTTGAGGAACAAGTTTTCTATGTTCCTCCATGTTGTTGGACACAACCAAAGGTATAGGGTAGTTCACCAGAGTTTTAGAAGGTCCATAGAGACTGTGCACCGCCATTTTCACCAAGTGTTGTATGCGGTTGGGGAGCTTAGGAGTGAGATGATCAAGCCACCTGGGCTTGAGATCCATCCTAAGATTTTTGGGAGCCAGAGACGGAACCCATATTTCAAGGTACTGTACCTTATTTCATTAGTTGATGGTTTAGGGATTATAAGTGACATACACCTAATTTGTTCCAGTTAAATGCTGTTTAGGACTGCATTGGGGCTATTGATGGCACCCATGTGTTGGCTAGGGTGCCTAGACACATGTAGGTTGCCTTCAGGGGTAGGAAGAGTAACCCCACTCAGAATGTTATGGCTGTTGTGGACTTTGACCTGAAATTCACCTATGTATTGGCTGGGTGGGAGGGATCAGCACATGATGCTTTGATCCTAGCAGATGCTATTGAGAGACAGGATAGGTTGAGTGTACCAGAAGGTAATTACATTGTTAATAGTTATTTAATTGTTCAAACAGCAAACACAAACTGATTGCAGACCCTATTAATGCTGTAGGCAAGTTCTACCTAGTTGATACAGGCTATGCATGTCGTCCTAGGTTCATGCCACCTTACAGAGGTGTGTGGTATCATTTGTCTGAGTCTTGTAGCAGAACCTACCCTAGTAATGAGAGGGAGCTCTACAACTTGAGGCACTCTTCCTTAAGGGTGACAATAGAGCCTGTTTTTGGGGCTTTGAAGAATAGGTTTCGTATTCTAGACAACAAGCCCTTCCATACCTACAAAACCCAAGTGAAACTTGTCCTAGCTTGCTGCATTTTGCATAACTAGATTTTGTCCTTTGCATTGATGAAGATGTGCCAACTGAGGAGTCTTGGACGGCCAACCCCCATGTTGTGTTAGAGAACCAACCTGTTAATCATCTGTAGTCCCAGGACAGCAGTGGGATGGCAGCTTTGAGGGATGCTATCTCTATCAGCATGTGGGCCAATAGGGGCACTACTAGGACTTGAACCATATTTATGTAATAAATTTGTATAATTCAGGTTGCCTTTGTATGAAACTAATGAACTGTGTGTATGACTATTTATGTATTTCATGGACAATGCTGAGACTAATGGCCTTCATTCTCCTATCTTGTTGGTTTTTGATTGAATGTTGGTTATGTGCTGTTCATGGTGTATGTGTTAGTTAAATGTTACCTTGCCGCACTACTTAGGATGGCTTCTGTCAATGTCAATGGTGCTGGTGGTGTTGCTGGTGAGGGTTTTGTGACTGCTGCCTTACTGGTGCTTGGGGTTGGGATGGCTGTTGCTGGTGCCCTTGTTGGTGCCAATGTGCAACCCTTGCCTGTTGCTGGTGGCAATGGGGATGGTGCTGCTGCCAATGCTGGTGGTGCTAGGCCACCTATGAGGTGGACTAACAACACCAGTGGCTTTGTGCTGCGTAGGATGAGGCAGCTCATCAATCTGGTGCTAGGGCAGACAAGGGCTTCAAACAATAGGATATTAACCAGGTAGCTAAGGCCTTGAGAGAGTACTCTAGTGAGGAGGTGACTGCCACTCAGGTATACAACCACCTTACAAAATGGAGGCAGAGATGGGGGAGGGTGTCCAAGTTGAAGGACATTAGTGGGGCACTTTGGGATGATGACACCAAGGCCATCATGCTGGACCAGGACCGCTATGCTAGTCATGTTAAGGTACAGCTTGTTGCATTTAGTAGTTAATTATTTGATCTTTTTCTCATTATGATTACTTGGCATTGATTACTAACTGTCTTCTCTGGTTTTGTGGTTGCAGGACCATCCCAAGGATGCTGAGTACCTAAACACCCCTATCAGGTTCTATGATGAGATGGATACCATCTTTGGTAGCACTACAACTACTGGGAGGTTTGCTGTTGGCTCAAATGAGCCCCTGGGGGTGAACAACAACACCACTGACACTGCAGTAGGTAAGATGGAGGGCACATTTGGGCACCAGTTAGGGGATGAGAAGCTTGACCTTGGTGAGAGCAGCAAAGCCACTGAGCTTAACAGCTCTGCAATGGGTGGGAAGAAGAAGAGGGCTTGCTTTAGTAAGGATGAGATGCGGCTCATGACCAACATGACTGATGTAGTGAACAATGTGGCCAATGCTTTGAGGGAGACAGGGCCTGCTCATGTTGATGCTGATCTCTACCATGCTGTGATGGACATGCCTGGGTTCACATAGGAGGCATTGATTGTGGCATTCAGCCACCTTCTGGACAACAAGGCACAGGGTAAGGGTTTTGTGGACTTGGTGGACAGCCATAGGGTTATCTGGCTTAGGAACTTCCTGGCCAAGCACTACATCTACATCTAGCGTGCTTGCACTCTACCTCTACAACAAGCTAGAGGAGGGAAGCAGTTGAGAACCCTTATATGTTCTCCACCCTCCTTAACCACTCTTCTTCCCTAATCTTTTGTGTAGTGACTTAGGGCCTTTTGTGCAGCAAGGTAGCTTGACTTAGTAGCACCTATCCTTTTGAGGGTATTTTGGTTGCTCATTTGGGGGGTGGCTAACCATATTTATGCAATATTTGTTCCTGGTGATGGCAGCTGTGTCTGCTAGTACTTGAACCGGTAAGGCTTGTGATGGTGGACTGGTTGGAACTATTTATGCAGTAGTTGGCTATTTACCTATTGGATTGTGTTTGCAGTTTTGCTTTTGGGTGGCTGGTTAGCCACACCATGAGATACATCCATACCCAACTAACTACTTGATTTGTTCGTGTATCATCATGTGGCTACCTGAGGATGGGTGCATCTCATGATGTGCATCCATTCACCAGAATAGTTTAGTTTTTGCCTATTTCATTACCTCTGTTGTTTTGCTTTTGGTTAATGGTTAGAAATACCATGTGACACGTCCATTCCCAACTGACATCATAACATGGTAATATATGGTCATGTTGCCAACTGAGGATGGGCATGTCACATGCTTTGCAGCCATTCACCAAGACTGACCTGGTTTTTTTACTTCTCATTTGGGTTGTGAAGGAGAAGAATTGGGATAAGGCCTATGATGATGAAATACTATGATGAGGTGGCACTGTCTTCTTCTTGATTCTGTTGTTCTTGGTTCTTCCTTCTATGCTGCAACCCTGGGTGTTTGTTGGATGCTAACTGCTATGTCCAGGCAAACAAACACTCCCTTTTGGTATTGTCCAGTGCTTGAGTTTGTATTGTCCAGTGCTTGGGTTTTATTGCCAAGTGCTTGATTCTTTGCTGCCTTGATCTTTTTCTGACTTAATCAGTGCCACCAATGATTCTATAGCAATGACATATGAATTTCAATAAATCTAAGGCCAACATTGATCTTTGCCAATGATGTGTTCCATGTTGGATGGATTAGGATGCGTGCCATAAACTTTGCTTCATGCGTCTTCTCCTCTTGCCTAAACTAAATTCTAATTTGGTTAATCACCTGGACAAGCCACAGGAAGTGAAATGGTGGTCTGTGACAATCAACTACATGACTGATGCATGTAATACACTGCTGCCAATGATGTTTACATTGGTTTGCTCATTTTCTTAAATCTCTAAACTAAACTGAGGCAACTTCTTCCTTTTTGCAGAACTGAGATGAGTCCATGGTATGTGGTTTTCAATGGCCATAAGCCTGGAGTTTACTCCAGTTGGGCTGAGTGCCATGACCAGGTGAATTGGTTCCCTAGTAATTCATACAAGAAGTACTACTCCTATGCTGATGCCTAGGCTGCATTCAACTCAAGAAACAACTCAAACCTTCTCTTGTGTGGTGCTCATGACTTGCCCTCTCATAATCCAACCCCTCCTCCATCTGTCACTCAAGACTGTATTACTTGTTCTACTCTTAGTCTATGTGGTTTACTTGTGGATGAAGCTCAGCTTATGAACTTGTTGTATTCATCTTGTGTTTGAACTTGTCAATTTGGGGATTAGGTAGCTGCTAATGTAATGGTACACTTGTGGTATTAATCTTGAATTTGAACTTGTCAATTTGAGGCTGTTCATTGATGCTGCAATGGCTCTTGCTGGCGCTGGTGGCTGTTGCTAGCGCACCAGCAGCCGTCCAAACAAACAAACACCTTCTCACTTGGGAAGTTGATGGTAGTTGGAAAAACTTGCCACTTGAGTCAGGCAAACAAACAGATTCCCACCCCAATTTTTTTTTATGATAGCCCTGGGGCAAGCTTTATTGATCGAAGATAGTTACATCGTCTAAAAACAAACACGCCCTTGGCCTCCGCGACCGTCCCCCTCCTCCCCTTTCGACGAGCGAGGGGCTGTATGCTGGGCGCCGTCGTCCGTGTCCCGGGCCGGATCCTGCTGCCTCTCCTGCCCGGGCCGACGCGCCCTCTCCGCCGCCGCCGCCGCCACTGCCTCCAGCCCGAGACGCCCATGGCCTCGGCCACCCCTCGCGACGGCGGCACCGCGAAGCCCGACGCCGCGCCCGCTCCCGCTCCCGCTCCAGCGCCCGCGCCAACGCCGCTGCCGCTGCCGCCCGAGAAGCCTCTCCCAGGCGACTGCTGCGGCAGCGGCTGCGTCCGCTGCGTCTGGGACATATATTTCGACGAGCTCGACGCGTACGACAAGGCCCTCGCCGCCCACGCGGCCTCCTCAGGCTCCGGCGGCAAGGACGACTCCGCCGATACCAAGCCCAGCGACGGCGCCAAGTCCTGAAGCGCACCTCTCATGTGTAATGACCTCTTCTGTTCCCAACCGAATTAGATCGATTGCTGGCCGTCTCACCAGATTCACATACTCCGCTACCAATTCTTAACACTGAGACATTACAATATCATTGTGCTTGCTGGGGTAGGTATGTGCTAGATTGGGATGCTTTGTCAATTCACCCTCATTCTTGTGTAACAAGAGAAAGTTACGATTTACCACAAACAAATGAAAGATTCAATTTCTCCGTGTCAAGGTTAGCACTTTGTTCATCTTAATCAGTAATCGAATTCTAGTCAAGGAACCCCAACCAATCACCAATGCCATTAGAATCGGGAGAAATTAGCAGGTTACATCTTGTCTGTCTCACCATCACCGGTGGTGAGCGAAAGGTAATAAACACACACTGACACATACAATAGCTCATGCATTGACGTAGAACTTACTGATCATCGTCCGAACCACCAGAGGGATCCTCACGGTGTGCACGCCATCCTCCCATGTCAGGCTGCCGAAGTTGTATCTCCCTTGCACCTTCAGTTTGGCCTGGAATGTCACCTTGAACGTCAACCTTCGCAAAGTCGAGTTGAAGGTCAGGAGTGAGGGGCTCACGGTGACGTCCACCCCTGGAGGAGCTTCCACACGAGCTTTGTACTTCGACAAGGCTGAGCCAACGTTTGTGACTGTTCTTGACACAGTAAGCGTGCCCCTCAGTTCGGGAATAGTGATGGATGGCAGGTTCAGCTTCAGCTGCGTCTTTGGTGTGTGCTGACAGGTCTCATGCTGTTGAGTCATGGAGCTGATGGCCGAGACGTTGTAGCCCATGGAGCAAAGGAAGCGCACATAGTCAGATGTCCCCATGTCATACACAAGACCGGGGTGTGCAGCCCTGTTTGGATCCACATGACCACCTCCGTAATCGAATGGGTTCGCCTGATTGTAGGGTGCCGCCTCGGATACAATTTCAAACCCATATGTGTCAAGGACATTGGCTGCAAATGTGTTGACTTGTTAGGCTCAAAACTTCTTTGATTAGAGAAGCAGATGACGAATTACCTGTTGTGACAAGTGCTGATTTTACTGCAGCAGGACTCCAATTAGGATGCATTGATTTGAGGAGAGCAACAACTCCTGAAATGTGTGGGCAGGACATCGAGGTTCCTGAATCAATCTTGAAGTTCACAGATCCAATGGCTGATGATATGGCAGCAGCAGGAGTCCATGCGGCCAAAATGTTGACACCTGGAGCAGCGATGTCTGGCTGCAGAAGAAGGTGCAGGGTTTTTTCAGCCAACTAGGACAGGTACTAGTGTAGAAGTTTGGTCAACTGTTGAACTGGAGGAGATCTTTTACCTTCAGAACAGAGGGGGACAGAGAACTTGGACCCCGAGAAGAGAAATATGCAACTTCTGGGCCAATCAGTTCTCCAAGAATTGTTTTTGCTGAGCCAAACTGAACTGTTGGGTTTCTGTGTATGGAAAATAGAAATTAATGGAAAGTTGCCGACAGCAACAGCATATTGCTAGATTGTTGTAACTGTTGAAACATGTGCAGCACTGTTTGCATACCTCATGCTAGTAGTGTATGCGAGTAAAGCTGTTCCAACTTGATAGTCTACTTGAACACTGGGAATATCGAAAGAAGATGCAATGTCCTTAGTTAAGAACTGGGCGAAGATAACTCCAACGCCACGAGCTTTCTTGACAGTCTCCACTGCCACTGAAGCTGATCTCTGTGCCCTTGTTTGGAAGCAAAGCACCACATTTCCCTTCACTAGAGTAGAATTCAGAGATCCTGCAGTGCAGCTTCTGCAAAGACATCAGCCAATACGGAAGTCGAGCTAAAGGTTTGATCAGAAGAGATTGAGGACGACAAAGTTTACCTTGCATCTGTATCGTCTGCATTATTAGATGCAATGTCTTCAGCATAGACTATGTGCATGCTTTTTCCAGGATGCTTTCCAGAGTACAGTGTTTGACCCTGCACCATCAGACATCAGAATGTGAGCACAAATATTTGCATATGAGCCTGCATTACAACCCAAAACTTCAGATGGATGAAACTCTTACCACATAGGTGCTATTGTTGCCTAGGGTGACCTTTGCGAGGAAAGTCCTATCAATGGTGCCAGCAGCAACGGTCACAGTCCATGGCGCCGAGTTGATGACCGTCTCTGAATAAGGCCCAGAATTTCCTGCGGAGCAGACCACAACAATCCCTCTCGCGACAGCATGGAAGGATCCAATTGATAGGACATCATCGACATATGCAGGGAGTGGTGGTGCTTGGCCCAGGGACACTGAGAGCACATCGACGCCGTCATGTATGGCATCGTCAAAAGCAGCAAGGATATCTGCAGAAGTGCAATCCCCGGTGGCCCAGCACACTTTGTAAACTGCCAGTCTTGCCCTGGGTGCCCCTCCCCTTGCAACACCACTGGCAAGGCCCCTGAAGCTTGCATCCGCTACCAGAGCGCCAGCAGCAGTGGAGGCTGTGTGCGTGCCATGCCCAACGGCGTCTCTCGCAGACATGAACTCATAGATGTCGGTGGTGTTCATCTTCCCGTACTCGGCTTCATACCCTTTGATGTACCATTTCGCGCCTATTATTTTCCTATCCTATCATGAATTTGAAGTCACTACCAGGACAGCCCCACCAGTAGAATTCTCCCCCTCTTATTTAAGACAGTGAAAAAATCTTTTGCAGGCAAAACAGTAAGGTGAAAGAAACCCAAGCGCAGGGCCAACCTGTTGCAGTTGGAAGCATTGAACCTGTCCCCGGCGACGCATTGCCCTTTCCACCGCCGCGGAACCTCGCCAATGCCGTCGTCTCTAAAACTGGCCGACTCTGGCCATATTCCTGCAAAGTGCGAGCCACCAGGATACCTCAGTCTTCGAATTGAAATGTCAGTCCTAATCCCAGTTGTTACTAGTAACTTTACTATAAGAAAAAAAAAGAAGGGAAATCGCCTCACCAGTGTCTAGCACACCAACAATGGAATCCTCACCGAATCTACTCTCTGAGAGGATTCCAACCGAGTGCGACGGATTCACTCGCATGAAATCCCAGCTCCTGGTGGTGTGCAGGTCAAGAACACGATTCCGCACCACTCGCACAACCCCAGGCGAATCTTTGATACCACAGTTCAAATTGAGCCAGAACACACAGGAGAGCAGCAGGGGTTTTGTCAACGTCACACACACACACACACACACACACACATGGAAGCGAAAGGACTGAGCAGAACGAGACACGAGACTAGCGAAGTGTGAGCTCACCGGCGAGCCGCGCCGCCTGGCTGTCCGTCAGCACGGCGGCGAACCCGGAGAAGCCGTGCCTGTAGCTGTAAAGGATGGCGTCCTTGGCCGCCTGCTCGCTGCAGAGCTCGACACCGTGACTCGTTAGGGGCACGGGCATCGTAAATACTAGTCAATCGACAGGGTCGACGAGTGGTGGCCTCACCTGCCGAGAAGGGCGGCGAGCATGCCGTGGTGCGAGTCCCGGACCAGCGCCGGGTGCAGCTCAGGATTCCTCTCCCCCATGTACACAATGTACACCTGCAGGAAACGGAACCGCATCATTCAAGGCAAGAACCAGTCGTGGATCGGGAAGCTGAACCACTAGTGCACAGGACTCCGTTCAGGCTCGCTCACATTGCTGCAAGAAGAGGGACCAAGCCGAAGCAGCAGCAGGAAGAAGAAGCCCAGCGGGGCAGCCATGGCCACCGCCACCAGGCACCACAGGTAGCTAGCAGGTCGCCGTCAACTCAAAGCAAGACGAAGAAGCTAGCGCAGGTGGGAAGGGAACCGGATTAGTGGAGTGGTTTGAAAGGGGAGGAGGAGGCGCTAGACTATAGGAGCCTTTTAGCTGTGTGGCAGGAAGCTAAGAAAGTTTAGCGTTAACTTTTTAGTGGTACATAGTTTAGGACTATCTTTTATAACGGCGCACGCAGTTAAAAGGCTGAAGACTACAGGAGGGTTGGGGTGCCAGCCTCCTCAGGAACAAGGAGGCTCTCTCGCTTTCTCAGCTGTCTGGCTGGCTGGATTGGATTCAAATACTACCGCACTGTTGCAGCGCGGATTGGTTTGTTTACTCTTTTTGTTCTCCCGTCCTGACGCAGCGACGTGCGTGCTCCTCGCCTCAGCCAGTCAGTCGGCCTCTGTTTCTTTAATGGAGATGATCAGACGACTGACCGCTGCCTTCCTCGTCCATCCTCCTCCTCTGGCTGGCGGCTGCCAACAATTAAGAGCTGTGTTCTCTGCGTGCGCCTCCCCCCCACCCCCCCCACCCCCCGGCGGTGTGGTCATGTGTGGTGTTCGGCCAAACGCGTCGTGCTCGTTGCCCGGTGCGGCGGCGGCGGCGGTGCCGTGGCCCGTGGTGGAGGGTTTCGGTCCCTTCTCACGTTGCTTTCTCCGCATTTTCGTGATGGGTGGAAGGAAAAATTTTACTACTAGTACCCGGAGAGGCTGCGGCGATTCGAACGTTGCGTTAGGCTCGCCGGCACCTACCCCGAGTCCCCGATCAAGCACTTGCTACAGTGTGTTTTTTGGAGGGAAAATGTTGTTGCGGTGTGTGTGGGGTTGAGTGGCTTTTGTTTATCTTGCTTTTGCTTGCAAGTTAATTTGGGGCTTTCTTGGTTTGGCTGAAAAGACATGATAAAAAATATTGTTCGCTAATTCGGTGTGAGAGCAAAATACTATTTCTTTATTAAAAAAGTATGGTGATAAATTAAGCGAACAGAGGCCTCCTCCCTGAAGCCTGAAGGAGATGTGCCCCTGTACGGAATCTCTCGACACATGGACGGTTTATAAGATCGTTGCTTCGTGAGCGGCGGACCACACGTGCGAATCATTGCCTCCTCGTTTGCCGCTTCTCCTCTAGCTTTGCTTCCGAAGAAACGCTAGCCTCCAAGCAAGCGGTACGAAGCCCTTTGTCCTTGAAAAATAAACTAAAACATTAGATAATTTAAAAAGAATACCGATAAGTGCAGCCATTTAATATACTGCCTC